ACACACACACACACACACACACACACACACACACACACACACACACACACACACACACACTCTACGTACTGTCAAAGCTTCTATGGAGGGTGTTGAAGGCAGCCTGCAGTGACCTGCCGGCCTCCTTGATCAGCGCCTCTGTCTCTCGTGCACTTAAACCCTCGAGGTTTTCCTCCATGCTATTCGTACAACAGGTTGGACCCTGGGGACAGGTCCTCAGATGTTCACCTGGTGAGGTAGAGAAATTATAAGTGATAAATTGATAAATACCTCCATTTTTACTTTTTAACCAAAACAATATAAACATGCTTAGGATCACTCGTCACATATTGTTTCCATTTTACATGTCATCTTAGCATACAATCACAAAACGACAACATACTGTTGTTACCGTATTTTCCGCACAATAAGGCGCACCTAAAAGCATTCACTTTCCTCAAAAGCTGGCAGCACGCCTTATAATCAGATGCACTTTGTGTATGGATCAATATTCTGATTTCTTGGACATAGTATTTTTAATGTTCTCTCAGTGCTTTGTTACAGCTGCAGTGGTTATGAAAGCACTATATAAATAAAGTTGCATTGTATTAGGTCGGCCCAATGGTTGAGTGGTTAGCGCGTTGACCTCACGATGCAGAGGTTGTGGGTTCGATCCAGGCTTGGACCTCCCTGTGTGGAGTTTGCATGTTCTTACTGTGCCTGTGTGGGTTTTCTCCGGGTACTCCAGTTTCCCCCCCACATTCCAAAAACATGCATGGCAGGCTGATTGAACACTGCAAATTGTCCCTCGGTGTGAATGTGAGCACGGATTGTTGTTCGTCTCTTCGTGCCCTGCGATTGGCTGGCAACCGGTTCAGGGTGTCCCCCGCCTACTGCCCGAAGACACCCGGGATAGGCTCCAGCACCCCCCGCGGCCCTTGTGAGGATAAAGCGGATCGGAAAATGGATGGATGAATGTATTGTATTATATTGTATCCCTTTTAGCGTAGCTCCATCTAGTAGATGCATAACGCAACCCCACCCACCCCAGCTCCAGTATTGTAGCTTCTATTATGTGCCTTGTAATGCGGTGCGCATTAAACCTACAGTTTTAAAATAGGTCATTCGTTGAAGGTGCGCCTTATACACCAAAGAGCCTTATAGTGTGGAGAATACGGTATTAAAACAGTGGTTTGCATTTCCTCAATTAAAGAATTGTAACTTGCTTTTGGGTTATCAGCTCACAATCAGAAGCTCACATTTGTATGTATTTTTATTCTTTCTTCCTCTCAGTAATGCATTGCAGTTACAGGTGTAACTAATTGTTTCCTGCTTGCTTCCTGGCAGGAAGTCACTTCAAACACATGATGGGGTCAGCAGAAAAGTGCAAATGCTGTGGCAATCTGAAACAAATTTGCATTTGCTACGCAGTTGTAATACCATGCTGTGTTTTTAGTGACATGTTTGTTTTCCACCCACATATGGCTTGGTTTGTCTAAAAAAGAAACTGCCAATTTATGACAGACCCTTGCCTTTGTGCAATTTGGGGACACTACCAAATGAAAAGACATACAAAGGCGTTGCTTAAGAATATGCTGAGGGTTACGTGAGAAAGAGGAATTTCAAAATTGAATGCGGATAACATTTCTGCCTCATTATCCAGAGGCTCTAGGTACAAAACAGGGTCTAGAGTAGTTTTGGGGGTCAAAACTGATCACCCAAATGGTAATCTAAAAAAACAATATAAAGGATGCTTGGGCGCTTATAAATATTTGTTCAACTATTCAGGAATTTTTTAGGCTTGTTTGGGAGCATAAGAATAAATGCACATGTAACATCAATTCTGCCAGACAGTGGAGAAAGCTGTGTTGGACATCAGCTTCTTCAAAGGTGCAAGCCTGAGGGATGATGTGTGCTCAAGTGTGTAAGGGCAACTACGTCTGGGGAAGGTTAAGGGTGAGAAAGACACCCAAAGCTTTGTGCATCATCAAGCGCATCCGTCCGACAAATCTTGGGTCACAATGTGCAACTTTCTTTGGAACGGCAAGTGTGTGGGTGGGTTTTGGGGAGGAGGGCGTACAAACCATAGGACAAGTGAAGCAAAAGACAAGATGCCTTCATCATTGTTTCTCCATAAATCTTTCATCGAAACTTTGGCAATGGCTGCTGAAAGTCAATTAAAATATGAGTCGTTGCACAGGGAATAGAACATTTTTTGTTCTGTTTGGTTAGGATGTTTTAACCCTGTCTTCGAAAGTGTGGGGTACCGGACCCCTTGATGCTGGCTGCTTAGTTCCTGTACGACCAGTGTCACAATTTGGTCGGCATAGACGGCAGTCTGTCAGATTTGTTTCCAGTAAAGCTTGAACTAAACCAGTGCTTCTCAATTATTTTCTGTCATGCCCGCCCCCTACGAAGAAGAAAACATCTCACACCCCGCCCCCCCCCGCGCGACTATAAATAGTATTTGTCTATAAAATAGTTATAAGTACACCTCTGCATAACACTGAGTCCTTATTAACGTATAAGAAAATAAAAAAAAGAAAGAAATATGGACCACCTTACAATAAAGAATAGCTTTATTAACTGTAACAGAAAAGATTTAAAGTGCATCTGATATCCTTAAACTGGAAACATTTTTTGACTGACCATGTCAAATCATACGATACTGAAAAATAAAATTACATGTAAATACAATACATACAAGTGAAAACTTCTCCTAATGTAGTGGAGGTGCAACTGCACTTTATTCTAGGACAGTAAAAAAAATCCAAATAAAAGAATAAAAAAGCATGTTCCCCCAGGTCAAACGTGCCCCCCCTGACGGAGCCTCGCGCCCCCCAGGGGAGATGCACCCAACTATTTGAGAAGCACTGAACTAAACCAAGGCTGCCCTTTGTCACCAATTCTGTTCAGAACCTTTACAGACAGGATTTCTCTACACAGCTGACGTGTTGACAGGGTCCAGTTTCATGACCTCAGTAAATATCTACATCTCTCGCAGGAGTGGTTCACAGAGTATGAATCGGCTGGGATGAGAATCATCATCTTCAAGTCTGAGGCCGTAGTACCCAGTCGGGGAAGAGCATAAAAACGTGACATTTTTGGGCTGACAGATAGCATTACTGGTTGTCCAGAGGCTAAAACAAAACCTAAAAATGCTAACAGTTGCTAGTGCTTTAAGGGTAGCTGGCAAGACCAGAAAATTTAACACGGCCGTTTCTGTTTGCAATATAATAGCTTTGGGTTCTTGTCATGGCAAAATAAATGATCATATAAAATGTTACAAATGGGACCAATTTCTTTTAAAGTAAAGCGTTGAAGAAAAACTTGTCTCTTAAGTGCTAATAGAATGTGCAAACAGAGAAGACAAATAAAATGGGTGGGGAAAAGTACAATTTGGTTTCCCGACATGATTTCATTGCTCATCTTGTTAGCATGTACTCATGTACACCACTCGAGGGGCACTTGGAGGGGTTCCCATTCACATAACTAAGTCTTCTGTGCCTCTCCTCTTGCTGAAACAAAAAGAAGCCTTGCAAGATGCATGAAATAGAAGTCTGGTGTAGGGGAAACTGAAGTTGGTAAGGGTGGAAATAAAACTACTGATACCAGTGTCATTCATCGATGGTGCAGAGTGATGGGATGGGTTTTCCATTTAAGCCCACAAAAGTGAATACGACAAGAAATGTCACATCTGAAATGCTCATGAGTGAAACATAAAAACCCTGGAGAGCAGTCAAATTTGTGACCTTGCAACATCCACTTCTTTTGCAGATGGATTTGTGCAGCTTTACTGAACGCTTACAGTTAATAACAAATATTGGTGCTTGTCCAGTTTGTTAAAGGGTTAACATTTCAAAGGCATGACCCGTTATTTGAAATGGATTGCTCTAATAGTGGTCGTAAAAATCTACTTTTCCCATGAAGGCTCGATGTAGTGCTCTCATGACATCATGTAATCCTGAGTATTGTTCTAATTTTAATATGTGCTTGAAGAGGTACATTTTAATCGGAAATCACTGAACATTTAAATACACATTAAGCTCTCTTAAAAGCATGCGGCACATAATGCAATCAAAATTAAAATCATCTTGAGTACTTTATTTTTGGACACAAGATGCTCAATTTTGTCGTTGTATAAAGTACTTCACGAACTGCTCAGAGGCTCCAAATTATAAACTTCGGGACTCAGTCTTGTTTTCTGACCTTTTAATCAAGGATCTAGGTTGGGGGTCGGCAACCTGTGGCTCCAGAGCCATATGCGGCTCTTTAGCGCCACCCTAGCGGCTACCTGGAGTTTTGTCAAATTTTTTGAAAATGGCAAAAGATGGGGGAGGGAAATATATTTTTTGTTTTAATATGGCTTCTGTAGGAGGACAAACATGACACAAACATTCTTAACGTTTTCCAATGCTTTAAAAATGTGTAGAATAAATATTAAATGTCAACATTTCTGTCAATGAGGATTTGCGTCATAGCGTGCGTTTCTATTAGCAGGACGGGATGTCAGGCAGTTTGTTTTGGGGGGCTTTTGGTCCAATATGGCTTTTTCAACATTTTGGGTTGCCGACCCCTAATCTAGGTAAAAAAAATACAAAATAAATTCACAAAAAATAAATTCAAAAAGGTTATCTTCGTGTGAGCTTCCTTTATTAACCTCTCTTCTGCCCTAACCATGCGTTTATCATGACAGCATAGTGTAGACAGCGGGCTAAACAATCCTCCAATAAAAACATGAAGATGAGAATCCACCGTTTGGTATTTTTATGGAAGTATTTCTTGTAAAACTGTATACAAACAGAAACACAACACGAATGTTTGTACAGCATCCAATTATACGTATGAAATGGCACTCATGTAACAGCCCTATTCTCTAGCTTATTCAACAATGCCATGGTATTTAAGGAGATTAACTGGTGAAATATTGATATACCTGTATGCCGATAAAACAACAATCAGTAACATGTACAACTGTGTAAATGTACTCACAGATTGTGCCTGAACTTGGTCAAAAGAAAGAGGATGGAAGTGGATGTGATCAAACCTCTCCACTGTTATGATTCAAAATGGTTACCCCACTGACTTTTTGGGTGGTTTAACTACTTCCACCACTAGGGGCACTTTACTGCACTGTAATGCAAGTTTTGGTGGTTTTAACTACTTCCACCACTAGGGGCACTGCACTGCACTGGAATACAATCACTGGGGGCAGAATAACCTCTTACGTTCATGAAAATTTATTGAGG